ACCTCTCCTCCCTCCCCCCCTCCCCCCAGTTTGTTCAAATGCAAGGAACACTGCAGTTCTCTATATTCAGCACCATGCATTCTCGCCTTTGGGAAAAGGCTGTTCTGCACCAGCTAAATGTTGCACTGCCCTTGTCGAGGTGAAGCATTAGTAAGCATGTGAGCATATGCCCTGGAGAAAAGCTCTTTCACATCGAGAGTCTGCAAAGGGCTCCACTTCCTATCAAATGAAATCTAATTCAGATAGCAGTGCAGCAGCTTTGCTTTCACGGTACTCTCAAACACCCATGTCTTGATCCCAAACTATCTCTTCCTGCAAGACTGATCTGGGATTGTTGAACTCTTTTGAAGTCTGAGTGTGATTTTTTGTTTTAAATGAAGTTATAGTGCAGTTGGAAAGAGCAACATTTTGGGGAAGAGCACATGTGTGAGGGCGGAGAACCAGGAAGTTGTGTGTGAAAGCGAAAGCATATCAAATGCTGCATCGTTTATTGTTTACCTAATCATGGAATTATGGAATTCCTAGATTCTATTGCTGCCAAATAGGAAAATAATCCTGTGAGAGAATCTGAAATTGCTCCCGTCAGCCTGTTTAATAGATGAGGGAAAACAGGTACACTATTTCTGTACCTGAATCCCTGATGGTTATACTTTCACCTTGCTTTACCAGCTCACATCAGCTTGTTTATTTTAGAGCAACTACTGGCCTTACTGAATTTGGTTAAATGCCATAAATTTTAGCACAACCCTTCAGAAAATGGCACTCTCCAGAGATGTTGGATTTTAGCACACAGAATTCTCTCCTTCCTTTTCAAAAGCAAATGTTAGATAGATGATAGATAGATAGATAGATAGATAGATAGATAGATAGATAGATAGATAGATAGATATAGATAGATAGATAGACAGATATAAAATATATATGCATCCATGTATATAATGAGAGAAAGAACTCCAGCTACTTGTGTCCTAAGGAAGCAGCACTGCACCATAGCAAAGGCCCTTGAGATTGTTTAATGTAGCATTGCAATCAATAGTGCTGTGCTACATCTGGCTTGTCAAACAGGAATTGTACAGGATTATTGCAATATATATCATGCCAGGCAATGAACTCCATAAAGGATCTCTTGGTGTGGCGTAACACGGTACTATAATGAAGCCTGGAAATGCAGAAAAACTGTTCATGGCATAGATTTACCTAATCATAAATCATAAGGCAATCTATTAGTATATAAGAGCTGTGGTGGAGCAGTGGTTAGAATGCAGTATTGCAGGCTCACTCTGCCAACTGCTAGCAGTTCAGTTCTCACCTGCTCAAGGTTGACTCAGCCTTCCATCCTTCCGAGGTCGGTAAAATGAGGATCCAGATTATTGGGGGAAATATGCTGACTCTGTAAACTGCTTAGAGTGGGCTGTAAAGCACTGTGAAGCAGTACATAAGTTTAAGTGCTATTGCTAGTATCTCCTAATAATGGTGGCGAAGAAAGAACCAAAGAAACCAAAGAAACAGCTACAGAGGCAAGATGAGGTTTGCTTCTCAATAGAGGAATGATGCCAAATGGCAACAATGATGAAATGTGTGAATGGCTTTACAAAAAGCCCAATTAACAAGTGCACACAATGGCTCCTTTACTTTGGTGTTGCTGTCAACCAGAACCTGAACAAGCTGACATTTTGATTATGTGGGAATCAGAATTTAAATTTATAATTAAATGCCTGTTAAATTGAATAAAAAATGGAGGCCATTTTAAGTTTCTGTGATACACTAATTCAAAACATTTAGTTAAGGGACTATGATGGGTATATATATTACATACTTATTAATGTTTCAGTATATTGGGCAAACATAACATATAGAGAAGACAGAAACAGCATAGGGATACCCAGAAACACAAGGGTGTAATCTGGACCATACCGTACTTCACATTCTTGCTATATCTACAAATATTGTCCCTAAGAATTGCTTTTTCAATCAGTTTTTCCCAGGATAAATTTGTCTACAAAAAAATAAAATCTTGTGACTAAAATAGGCAGAGATTGTTCTATTAGCACTATACCAAGCTGCTGTCCCATTTGATGTATTAAGACTAGAAGTGCTTAAGACACAAGAGAGTTAGCACAACATAGTCATTGCCAGGAAGTCAAACTATCTCAGATCACTGATTCCTCCAATTCGTAATGGTCCATCCAACTTTCCAAGGTCTTAGGCAGCAGTTTCCTTTTTTGATCCTGCTACTTGAGCACCTACCTGTACTACTTTCCCACCACCTAGTTAGGGCCACAGTCCTGAAACCTAACTAGTAGGGCAATATGGTTTCAATCTGAAGATGTAGTACAAAGGCAAATGATAAAATTTTCAAAGCACCTTCTGAAGCAATATTTAGAGCTGTCCAATCAAATCAGATACCTTCAAATTGATTTTATTTGAATGTCTTTCACAACTGAATTTGTTTGAATCCAATTAACCCAATGCAGATCAATTCCAAGTGTCAAATTAAATTGATTCAGTGCTTCCAATCAACTCAATGATCCCAAGTAAATTGATCCGAGCTGAGCACAGGAGACTCCCCAGCTGACAAAGCAACATGGCCCCAGGAACAACAGTGTCAATGTTCCTTTATAAACGGCAGTGAAATTTGACTTGTGAATCTGACATCACTGAAAGGAGGTTGAGACATTCAATATTCTTTTTTTTCCCTGATACTTTAAGGAACTTGACTGTCCATCTAAACAGATTCAAACAAATAATAATAATAATAATAATAATAATAATAATAATAATAATAATAATAATAATAATAGTAATAGAGTTGGAAGGGACCTTGGAGGTCATCGAGTCCAACCCCCTGCTCAGGCAGGAACCCTACAGCATTTCGGACAAATGGCTGTCCAGTCTCTTCTTAAAAACTTCCAGTGTTGGAGCATTCACCACTTCTGGAGGCAGGTTGTTCCATTGGTTAATTGTTCTAACTGTCAGGAAGTTTCTCCTTAGTTCTAAGTTGCTTCTCTCCTTGATCAGTTTTCATCCATTGCTTCTTGTCCTGCCTTCAGGCGACTTGGAGAATAGCTTGACTATACTGTCAGAGAACCAGTAGGGGTGTAAAGACTATTCAATATATTATACTAAAGCCGTAGGTATGCAATCAATGCAATGAATTTCTGGGTCTCAAGAAATAAAGTCCTTTCTTTACGTTCAAGATAGCTAGTTTGGAGAAAGCTGGGAGAGGCAGAGAGAGGGGCCTTTGGAATTCAACGAATAACATCCCACTCAGTTGTAATACTTGGACAGACTTTGAAAATAAAACTGATGATGTCCAGGAAGCTATTCTCCCAAACTCAGGATTGGAGTGGAAGCTGAGTTCCCACTGGATTGGTTTTCTTTGGTTAGGCGTTGTTGTTGTTGTTTTGTGGGGGGCGTTCATAGATTTGTTTGCTTTTTTAACTTGTAATTTTTTTCAGTCCAGGGTCTTTGGGAAATGGGCAGCCTATAAAGTGTATATATAAATAAAACTTTCGGGAGAGGAGAATGTCAGAGAAGAGGATTAGGGACCTGTAGGCGGCCTTATGTCTTTGAGGGATAAACAAATATCCTCTTATATTAAAGATGCTCCCTGAATAAGGAGGTGTTTAAAGTTCCAAAGGTGTTCAAAATTACTGTGTTCAAGTCCTGTCTTAGCCATGAATGCCAGCCAGGTGACTTTGGGCCAGTCGCTCTCTCTCGGACCAACCCACATTACAGGGCTGTTGTTGCAAGGAAAATAGGAGGAGGAAGGTATGTTGGCTGGGTTTATTGCTTTGAATTATTTGTGAAAATAATAAAGGCAGGAAACAAACAAACAAACAAATAAACATTGGGAAATTTGATTATTCCAAGCATATACAGATGGGTGTGTGAGGGGTATACTGATCGCCCCATGACTTGCTTGTATGATGCAAAGGTTCAGACATTACAGAGTGTCTAGACAGCCTGGTAGGAGATGCTGGGAATAAGCCAATGGATGTTAGCATCAGTTATGTAAAGAAAATGGATCACTCTGAAAGTAAATGTTAGGTTGTTCATTAGGGTGCTGAAATCCAGGCCTACCAGGCTGGTTTTCTTAGGGAAAAAAAACACCTGTATAACCTGGGGAAACAGGTTAGAGCTATAACGCATCACAGGGGGACTTTTGGGGCAAATTAGGTTTGTAAAAAATGAATGGGTTGCTCTTGGATCAGGAAGATACTAGACTGCAGGTGTACATTTAAAGGGTGGCACAGCAGCTTTTAAACAGATTCCTGAGGGTAGGAAGGGCAGGAATCCATTTAAATCAGGATGTAAGCACCTGATTTAAACTGGTGCAGAAAAGAGGGGGTTAAAGCATGTGCTTTTTTTAAGTGTTCCACGTGAGACAATGTAGATCTAAGAAGTAAGTGTAGCTTACTTCAAAACCCACCAAGTCGCAAGGGTAAAAGTGCACTGCACAGACCTAGCAACCACTGCAGAAAATGGATGAATAGAAATCACCAACTGGGCTAGGGTTATCTCTGGAAATAAGCTGTAGAGGAATGACTGGAAAAGGACTATTGTCAACGAGTACACAGAATCTCCTGAAGTAAAAAATTACAAATGGAAGGAACTCTTCTGCTGAATCATTGCATGTATCCATATTCATCCTTCAAAAGCAAGCCAGTATTATCGACAGTACTTTTTACTACTCAGTCTGAAAAGGTAAAGCTGACCCCGAGGGGAAAATGAATTTATCTGACAAAGAATCAGTCCAGTAGTAGTACTGGGTGATGTTAATCAACTTCATATAAGCTGGAAAAAAATGAATGTTCTGAATGGGGCAAATGAAGTAAATTTCTGCGTTGCCAATGAGTCAACAAGGGGAGATGTAAAATGAGATTTAGTGCTAAGTAATGCTCAGAAGCTTGTTCAAGACTTCAAAATTTAAAAGGTGGGGTGGTGTTGGCAGAAATTCTAGCCCACTGAATAACACCAAACAGCAAGTTGAAATTAAACAGAGATTTATTGGATACAACAATTTGCAAAGCGTGGTGGACTCCTAATAAATATTTGAGCCACACCTTTTCACAGTAAAAGCACACATTTTATACATTTCTTTTTTGTGTTCATTCTCTATTATGTTAACTTTTTCTGTAATTTCCTGGAAAGCTAATAGTGTCTGTATCTTTTCTTCCTGCTTGATGCCATCCATTATACTGGTTACAGTCGTATGGACTAAATTTTTAATCATGGGAATTAAACAGGGCATACACATTAGTCCCAATAGTATTACACCTACCATAAATAATGCTTGTTTCCAATTGCGAAAAATTCCCCCCCAAGAATCCCCCTTCATCTAAAAGATCAGTCCAAGTCTGGACTGGAACATGTACAAGTTGTCTCATTTCAGTGGTTAATTGCTTCACCACTGTTCCAGTTTCATCTATTTGTAAGCAACAATTAGTTAAATTAAACTTCCCACATACCCCTCCTTCCTTAGCTAATATATCTTTTCTTTCTTTATAGTGATATAAGTTAATGGATCGGATCCTGTACCATCTATTCCAAATCCATAACTTACTACATCAGAATGGTTCTTAGAGATTTCCAACTCCATCGTATTAGTTCCATATATTCTTTTAAATTGGGTAATACCATTACATCCTGGAAAACCTCCTCTAGTGTTATCACACACACAACTCCACCCTGAACATTTAATAGATCCCGCACAAGGTAACCATTGATTGGGGTTCCCATATGCAAAGTTTAAATTAGTGGAACATATATATTTATGATTTTGTTTATATGCTGTGATCCAACTAGAGTCCCCACACTTAGTGGCTAGGTGAGATAAACTTAATACTGTACATGCATCAAATTGTATTAAAGCCTTTTCTGTCCCCTTTTCTAATATTTTCGTAGAATTAACATATATTAATCTTCCTTCACCTTCAGGACTCTGTCTCACTCCTACTTTAGCTAAACCCACATATATACTGAAATTCAAATATGTTGGTATTGATGGATCGTAGCATTGTATCTTCTTGTCTTTTCCCTCACAAACTGAATATTGTGTTTTATTTAATTGACACGTAGATTGAAATATACATCCCTTTGGTGCTTGGGTATGATATACCAAGGTTTTGATTACTGCGTTCCCTTTGGTGGCATTGGTAATGCAGGCTTTACATCCTTCTGTTTTTGTTGCTCTCCTATATTGTTCTTAGGAGAGGGAGAGATAGATAACCATGGACAAATATACAACATTAAGGATTTGCATTTTAATTACTCTTCCACTCTTCCTTTATATCTAAATTGTGATATTTTCTAAAGGCTTCTTGTTGTTCTTCACATCCAGTACTAGTTGAATTGAAGGAGTATCTTTTAAAGTATATCTTACCCCTCCAGTCAATATCTCAGTATATTCCTCAAAAGGTTTCAATTTCTTTTCAATGAGTACTATATCGCATGGTCCAAAATGTTTTTCACATCCAGTACATCATACACAGTCAATACAATGGAAACAACAACAATCAACATGCCATTTACAGTCACAGTACCAACACATTTAAACAGGAATTTTACAAAATATCAATTTAAGCCAGCTGTCACCCGGAACACAGGTCCACTGTCCTTTTGGTTTAGCTACTGGTCCCTTCACTCGCGTATAATGAGTCCACCCTTTTTCTTTCGTCTGAACTGCAGTTTCAGAGGTCAGCAATACTTGGAATGGTCCTTCCCACTTAGGTTGCAGTTTCTCCTCCTTCCACGTTCAGATCAGGATCCACTGTCCCACCTCAAACGTATGGACAGGAAATTCCAAAGGGGGTGTTTGGATCAGCAAGCCTTGTTTCCTGCAATGATCAAGATACTGCAACAGTTTATGCACATAATGTCTTATTACTTTATCCCTTGTTATTAAAAAGTCCATACAAATGTTTCCAGACATAAATGATACACCATACAATAATTCATAACAAGACAATCCTAAATCTTTCTGTGGTTGTGTTCTTATTCGCAACAATACTAAAGGTAAACATTTTATCCAAGTCATTTGAGTGTCATATTGTGGAATTTCCCACTTGAGGTAATTTAAAATCAACTTGAATGCATTGAAATAGCCTCACCATTAGATGTTATAGAGCAGTGGTTCTCAACCTTTTTAATGCCGCGACCCCCAACCAGTCGTAAGTTGAGGACTACTCAACTGGTCGTAAGTCGAGGACTACTCAGCTGGTGCAGCACCATTTGCAGAATGGGACTTTTGGCGGGCTCAGCAGGGCAGAGACAGCCTGGACAATTCCTATTGGCTTTTGAAAGCCAATAGAATTAGACTGTATTCAAGAGAGTCTATTCTATTGGCTTTCAAAAGCCAATAGAATAAAAGGGAGTAGCACAGCTAAGGAAAAGAGGGAAAAAATGGCGGACTGCGTTGTTTGGCGACCCCCGTGAAATGGTCGTTCGACCCCAAATGGGGTCCCGACCCACAGGTTGAGAACCACTGTTATAGAGCATTTTATGTATTTGTCTACATATCATACTTATCATATAACCAACCATATATTAACCATAGAAAAGTATCAATTATCCCTCCCCTAGCCATTCCTTTGTCCGTATGTATTTACAAACAAATTGCTTAGTAAAGAGCCAACAAAGGAGCGCTCACCAAACTCTGCTTGAGTTTGTTTGCATACAAATCTTTATTCAAAACAACATAGCTCATTTATAATCCCAAATTTTTTTCTCAACTCCTTCATTTTAAACAAGGGTTGAATTACAATTCCTTCAATTTTCTTAGGTATTATTATTTTTTTATCAGTGTGTTCTGCACAGAGACATAAAAACATAAAAAATAAAACAACAACAACAAAAAGCAACTCCACAAAATAAATAAATAAATAAGCTTAATAAGATATTCTGAGTTACTGAAATAGTTTTGTATCAAACTCTAGTATCAACTCTTTGGTTTTAATATAAATTTAGCCAAAGTCCAATTTAATCAGATTCCATTCAGATGGAAACAAATTTCCATTAAATAGGTTAAATCATTTATAAATCTAAACTAAACAATTCAAAGTCATTTCTATTGGTTAATGGTTATATAGGTGTATTCAAGTTCTTCTCATATTTATTTTTTAAAAAACCTTATTTCTTACTGCAAGAATGGGTATTAAATTTCATATCCACCCCACCTTCCTCAAACCAGAATTCTAAGCAGAAAAAAAGTTAAAAAGATCAGACCCCTCCCCTTTTTTTCTGTCTCTCTCGCTCTTAAAGCAACACAGCCAGCTGGGGGTGGTGGGGGGTGGGGGAAAAGAGACAGGAAAAGAAGAAGAAATTACACAATAATCTCACCACTAACAAAATAGTTTTCTCTTCTTCACACGCATTTTCCATTTCACTTGTACAGCAACAACAACAAAAATCTGCAGTTTACTGTTTCTTTCACAGTCTGGGATGGGGGAGAAACACACACACACACACACACACACACACAGGATCAGCATATCCACACATTCACTGCCATTCAAACTGCTTGTATAAACACTTTCACATACAGATATTTCATTTCATACTTTCTCCTGACAAACAAATAACTATTATTATAATTTCAAGGAACTGTTCAAAAGCCAATGAGCTCCTCCCCCCCTCCCCAATTTCCTTTGCTCTTTAGGTTCCCATGCTAACATCAATGGTTCATCTTCTGATAGTTTAGCATACAATTTTTTTGTCATCCCAGCATAGTTATCTATCCATAGTCTGCAATATCTCACTAGCCCCCAAAATTTTCTTAAATCTTTTTTTGGTTTTGGTAGTGTTTGTTGAACTATACCACTTATTCTATCTTCAGTAATTTTTCTACTTCCTTTACTAATCAAATGTCCTAAGTATTTCACTTCTCTTTCCACATATTGTAATTTCTTCTTTGATACTCTCAATCCTTGTTGCCTTAAGAAGTTTAGTAACAAGTCAGTTACTTTCTTGGTTATAGTCATATCTTTGTCCACTTCCTCTTCTAAAGTTTCCACGTCCTCTTCCATAACTTTCTCTTTTCACGTGTCCTCTATATATTCCTCTAGCTTCTGGGGTCCACCTATTTTCTCTTGACTCGGTCTTATATGGGTTCCAACTTGCCTTCTCCTTTTCTCCTTTTTGTTTTATTACTTGGTTTATTGGGCAACCATCATTTTTTTCTGTTGCCTAAATTTCTCTACATCCCTTTGCACATATACCTTTTGTGCCTCCTTCAACAAGTCATCTATACTTTTCCCTGTCCAATTTTTGTAGTTTTTTGCTTATATCCAGCCAGGATTTTATTACAAATTGTATTTTAACCAGAGGAGTATTTGCTGGGTCATCTGGATCTGTTCCAGAATACTTCCTCATTCCGTCCTTCAGTCTCTGGAGGTATGTGGCTGGAGATTCTCCTTTTTCTTGTTTTATCATTAAAGCTTTACTCATGTTCTGTGCTTTTGGAACAGCTTCTCTTATTCCTCTTATCAATAATACTCTCATATCTTCTATGTTTCGTCTATCTGCAGCATTATTATTATCTCAGTTTGGTCTTACTAAAGGAAACTTTACATCTGCCAAAATTGCCCCCTGTGTTTGGGGATTATATACCCTAGTCCAGACCAAATGAGCTGCTCTTTGAATTAACTGTCTCTCCTCTGCTGTAAATAACGTGCTCTGTATCACTCCTAATTCATCCCATGTGTATATGTTTGCTCCTAACAACAGATCTAATTGCTCTGCTACCCCTATTGCATCTTCTGTCATGCTTTTCATTTCTTTCTTAAAGGCACATGTACAAAACTGATATGGGCTGTCCTTGGCCATCTACTCCATTGGGTACCTCCCTTAAAGGAAAAGCCTGTAGTGCTTTATCCTTAAAGGGAAAATTCTTTATATCTTTCTTCAATTGTTCTAATTCTTTCATTAATCCCTTATATGGTCCACTTCCCACAGCTCCCTGGGGTTGTGTTACAGGAGCTGGTAGGGGTGGTGGAATAGGTATCTGTACATTTGTTGGTTGGGGTGGATTAGGATTATAGGGTGGGGGTAAATATTTCATGGATTTTTCATCATCCTGCTCTTCCTCTATTTCATTTTTCTTTTCCTCTTGTAAATATATTGAGATTGTTTTATGAGGGTTAGGGCCACTCATAGTCAAGGTGAGCCATTTATCTGGGTTCCAAATTAAAGCATAGTCTAACTCATTGACTAATGATCTACATGTTTTCCTTGACACATACTCATATAAATTCTGACAAGCAAAATAGTCATTTGTTCCTAATTTAGGCCACTCTACTTTTTCATCTTCCCACCAGACAAAACAATACAAATTAACCATATCTTCCTTGGTTATATCTAGTTTACTAATTAGATGAATTTTTGCTAGTCAGCTAATTAAGGTATGTAGGAAGCACATCACAATAGTAATTGGGGACTTTAACTACCCTGACATCAACTGGGAGACAAACTCTGCACCAAGTGGAAGATCAAACAGATTCCTTGCAAACCTAGCAGACAATTTTTTCTCCCAAAAAGTAAAGAAGGAAACTAGGGGATTAGCCATTTTGGATCTAATTCTCACTAACAGTGAGGAAATTATAGAAGGTGTTGAAGCCACAGGAACCTTGGGAGGAAGTGATCATGCAATATTGGAATTCAACATTATGGAAGCACAAGCAATAGAACACAGTCAAACTAGAATTTTGGACTTCAAGAGAGCTAATTTCAATAAACTTAGAGAGGGCTTGGGAAGGATTCTATGGATGAGAATCCTCAAGGGGAAAACAACTCAAGAAGCTTGGGAAATGCTGAAAAGTGAGACAATAAAAGCCCAGTCCAGCACAATACCAACAAAGAGAAAAAATAACAGCTCTCAAAAGAAACCAGCATGGCTGCACAAAAAACTCTCTGATAAATTGAAAGATAAAAAGGACAAGTATAGAAAGTGGAAAGAGGGGCACATAACTAAGTCAGAATATAAACAAATAGCTCGAGCCTGCAAAGATGAAGTGAGGAAAGCTAAGGCTCAAAATGAACTAAGGTTTGCGACCAAAGTCAAAAATAACAACAAAAAAGCTTCTTTCAACATGTAAAAAACAAGAAAAAAGTGAAGGAAATGATTGGTCCATTAGTGGGGGAAAGTGGCAAGAAGGTGACAAGCAACAGGGAGAAAGCAGAACTATTTAACTCATTTTTTGCATCTGTCTTTACACAAAGGGAAAAACAGACCAACTTACTAAAATAGCGCCATAAAAAACAGAAAAGAAATGCAAGTTAAGATAGGCAAGAAAATGGTAAATGAGCACCTGTCCAGCCTAGACAAGTTCAAATCACCAGGACCAGATGGATTACACACCAAGGTTCTCAAGGAACTGATGTGATCTCAGAACCACTGAACTATATTTTTCAAAGATCCTGGAGCACTGGGGAATTACTGGAGGACTGGAAAAGAACTGATGTAGTTCCCATCTTCAAAAAAGAAAAAAAATGGACAGAGGAAATTACAGACCTATCAGCCTGACCTCAATACCTGGGAAGATTCTGGAAAAGATAATCAAACAACGAATCACCAAACACCTAGAGGCAAACAAAGTCATTACTAAAAGCCAACACGGGTTTGTCAAAAACAGATCATGCCTGACAAATCTTATTGCATTCTTTGACCAAGTGACAAAATTAGTGGACCAGAGGAATGCTGTGGATATAATTTACTTGGACTTCAGTAAGGCATTTGACAAAGTAGACCACAAACTACTACTTGAGAAGATAGAAAAATGTGGGTTAGAAAACATCACCACCAGATGGATCCGTAGCCGGCTGACCGGCCGTACTCAGTGTG